GCGAGAACTAGCTCACGTATTGCCCTTTTCGCCTGGAAAACTAGTCCATTTACCTAATATATAAATGTTTTTGCGCAACCGTGCAGAAGCGTGTGCTCGTAGAGCGTAAATTCCAAACTGGGGGGTTTTTTTTTTTTTTTCTTAGCAGAGAAGAGAGATGTTAAAAGAGAGGAAACGGGAGAAAAACTAATAGAGGAGAACAAATTAATCCCGATATATTTACAAAGATAAAAAGTAGAAAAGTCGGAAAAGGAAACCGAGCTTTGCGAGATGGAATAGCCAGTATTCTGATTGAATAACTAAAACAATCTGATTGAATATAGTACGACTCTCCCCAATTATTTTGCCGTTTTCAGCACACATAGAATCAACTTTCTTTTGACACGCTTATTATCAATGTGAATTTATTAGCCGAAAGAAAGAAAGAAGAAAGAATGAATCTCGTGGAACACGTATAATATTGTTATACAATCCCGAGATGAAAAATTTTTCGCCGACCAACGACGTGGCTCGCCTCGACTCGCCTTAGAGGAATATGTCCAATATCCAACATCGGCGTGTTGGAATTTCCGGGTCACTCGTTTCTCTCCTCCCTCAGGAGCAGCATGGGAGAGGAAAGGAAGAGGAGAGGATGCACGCTGACGTTCCCGTCTCCTTTAACGATCCGAAGAATTTTCGCGAGGAGAAATTTCGCTGGGAGCATGCTCGTAGATCCGTTTTCTTCGTCTTCCTCTCATTCCTCCTTTTCTCACCGAGAAAACGCCTTCCTCCGTCGCAACGATTATTATACGGTAGAATATTTCGCCGTTATGACCATATTGACAGACGATGACGGATATAATTGCCATGGCCAAGTTTATTTTGCGATATGGCGACGACGTCTGTATATTTTTAATATGTGCCAATTCATGTACCGGAACTCTGCTTGCTATTGTCTTATGTCTTATGCAAGCAAACTTTAACGCTAAATACGTAATTCTCTCAATACTAACATCCGTATTTTTAATATTCGACATTCGACATTCGATTCTTAATAATTAGACTTTTGAACTTTAAATCGATACTTAAATCGATACACAATATTCATTTTTCTTCAATAATATTTTTCTTCTTTCATTTTCTGAATGCAGCTATTATATATATATATATATATATATATATACAA